AGGCGTATAATAGGAGTGTACAATAGCAAATTAAGTAAAGCTAGATAAAAGCAAGACCACCCAACATTGTTCACCCTGTTGCCCACCCACTTTAACAATGGTATATTCCAATTGGGTGGTTTATGTCCGTATACCTTGCCATTTAATGTGATTTTGGGATATCTTCCTTCTTTCACTCATGTGATGTGACTAAATGAGTTTTGGTGTTAATTGTACAGTACAATAATTAATTCTCTTTACTTTTTTCGCTTCACAATTAATTTGTTATGTACTATTATAATTTTAGGGAACAACTGGAATTACTAATATGCATCCACATAAAGGGTTGGTTGGTGTAACATGGAATTAGTTTTATTTTGTTGAGAATTTCAGAATATCTTGAGTTTCTTTCTTTTGTTTGGTTATATTATTTAAGGATATTGATGTATGTTGCTGAACACACTGTCAAATTCATGAGTACGTCTGTTCTAAAAGTGTACATTCAAATAAATAAACTAAAAAAAATAAAAATGAAACAATAACTATAACACATGCGCTATCAGAATTTACAATTATAATCACTTAAGCTAAAAAATGAATGTTTGTTACAATAATTATAATAATAAAGACACCTCGGAATTCGAAGGACAGACTGAAAAAATAATTAAAAAACAACAGGAGCTACAAGAATAAAATCATAAATTAAAATGTTATTCTTGTTGCTCCTGTCATAGTACATAATAAAAGAAGAAATGCGTATTCTCAGAAAAAAAAAGAAACACGGTTCCTGCTGACGCTCAGAAATAGCACTCACAATGTTTTGTAATCATACCACATGAAAATTGTACTTGTTTATTAAGAAATATATCTAATGGCATACAATAAAAAAAGTTTATCAATGTCAGCTACAAAGCATGATGCTTTTATGTGCGACTCTAACCACAAGTGTGCAATAATAAGAAAACAATTTATCAAATTACGTCTGGAATTGGCAGGAGGATAATGTGGAAATGATGAAAGGTGAGCTAGCCACAAATGAAATAAACAATTTCTTATCCAACGAATGCTTCCATGAAATATGGAATCATGGACCTTTTGCTGTTGATTGCTTATATCGGCTACAAGGTTGGCTTGTGCGTATGGTACAGATTGGGCCATTTGTGTCAACAAAATACAAAAAATTTGCCTCAAAAAATTTCCCACTGAAAATTATGTAGGTATAGACACTGACAGGAAGGATTAAGGAAGTGAAGTTGTTTTTTAGTCTAAGAAATAAATCCTGGCACCACTGGATTGTAAAGTTCTTTAAATATACAACTCTA